GCCCATATTTTTTTAAAAAAGAAAAATCTCAATTTAATAATCTAATCCTCTATCTTAAGAAACTAGAAAATGAAAAGCAAACTAAAGCAATCAGAAAGAAAATAATATAGAGTGGCAATAAATGAAGTAGAGGATATAAAAAGTAGAAAAATCAAAACCACTTTTGATTCTTGAAAATATCAATAAAAGTAATGAATCTTTATCTTGACTAACCAATAATAAAAGAGAGAAGACTCACATTACTAAAATCAGGAATGAAAGAGGTACATTACTATTGACCTTGTAGAAATAAAAAGGATCGGCAGGGTGTAGTGGCTCACGCCTATAATCCCAGCACTTTGGGAGGCCGAGGCAGGTGGATCACCTGAGGTCAGAAGACAGTGAAACCTGTCTCTACTAAAATACAAAAATAAATAAATAAATAAATAAATAAATAAGAAATTAGCCAGGCATGGTGGTGCACGCCTGTAGTCCCAACTACTCAGGACGACTGAGGCAGGGGAATCGCTTGAACCTAGGAGGTGGAGATTGCAGTGAGCTGAGATCGCGCCACTGCACTCTAGCCTGGCGACAGAGTGAGACTCTCTCTCAAAAATAAATAAATAAACAAATAGGATTATAAGAACACTATCAACAAGTGTATGCCAAGAAATTAGAAAACCTAGATGAAATGGAGAAACTTCTAAAAAGACACAAACTACCTGTGATGGTTAATACTGTCAACTTGATTGGATTGAGGGATACAAAGTATTAATCCTGGGTGTGTCTGTGTGGGTATTGCCAAAAGAGATTAACATTTGATTCAGCAGGCTGGGGAAGGCAGATCCACCCTGAATCTGGTGGGCACAATCTAAATAGTTTCCGGTGAAGATAAAGCAGGCAGAAGAACGTGAAAAAGCAGGGATGGACCTAGCCGCTGAACCTACATCTTTCTCCCGCGCTGGATGATTCCTGCCCCCAGATATCGGACTCTGAGTTCTTTAGTTTTGGGACTTGGACTGGCTCTCCTTGCTCTTCAGCTTGCAGACAGCCTATTGTGGGACCTGGTGATCCTGTAAGTTAATACTTAGTACTCTCCGCTTTTCAGTTCTGTCCCTCTAAGAGAACCCTGACTAATACAGATTTTGGTACCAGAAGTGGTTCTAGGGGAACAGAATATTAAGGGTGGAGTTCTTTTGTTGGTTTTGGGGTTTCTGGAATTGGCTGCTTAATATGATTGGACCCCAAAATGCTAAGGACTCTACTTCTAATAGTATGGAGAACATTGATAGTCCTTGGTGTGAACTGTTTAGACAGTCACGCAAAATAAATGCATTTGACACTCCTGATTCACTGCTCATGAGAGGCTGCTCATGAGAGGCAAGGAGTTTAGCGACTCTATACATAATACCTTAGACCATATGTGGACAACCAAGGAATATAATGAAATTGGTTGTTTGCTCCTAAGTTCAGCAAAGTGATGAAAGAAAATGATGAACTCAGGGATTCCGTCTCCTGGCTTCAGAAGCAGATACCGAGCCTCAAATCTGCTAAGATTGCCCTGAGTGAGTCTTATCTCCTGTAGAGAAAGAGCTGAAGTTGTGGAAAAACAGACACAAACTCTTACGCGAGTGGCTGACTTGCAACAGAAAGGTTTACGCACAACCTTGGGAGGTGTCTACCGTTACAGTGAGGGTATTGATTGGAAAAGAATGAGACCCTGCAACTTAGAATGGGGACGTGTGGGAGGACCCTGATGAAGCTGGGGACATTGAATTTGTAAACTTCTGACGAACATTTTTTGCCAGAAGGGATAGTTTCTCCATCCCCAGTAGAGGCAACATCCCCCCACCCTGACCCATGCTGCCATATCAGCCTTTCCACCTTTGTCTGAGGAGATAAATCCTGCGCTGCCTGAGGCAACAGTGATGGCCTCCCCTGAGGCAGTTCCAGGCAAAATAATGTTGATTCGTCTCAGGAGCCACCCCCACCGCTCCTGTTTGCTTCTAGACCTATAACTAAACTGAAGTCCCAGCAAGCCCCTACAGGTGAGGCTGAGAATGTGACCCATTAGGAGGTGCTCTACACTCAAGAACTGCTTGAGTTGTCTAATTTATATAAACAGCAATCTGGAGAACAGGCATGGGGATGGATATGAAGTGTATGGGATAATGGTGGAAGGAACATAGAGTTGGATCAGGCTGAATTTACTGATGTGGGCCCACTAAGTAGGGACTCTGCATTTAACGTTGCCGCTTGGGGAGTTAAAAAAGGTTTTTATAGTTTGTTGTTTAGCTGAAATATGGATTAAAAGTTGGCCCACCCTGAGTGAGCTGGAAATGCCTGATCTCCCTTGGTTTAATGGAAGGGATCCAAAAGCTTAGGGAGATTGGGATGCAGTGGATTAGTCACTTTAGACCTACTCCTCCCAGCTGGGAGGGTCCAGAAGATATACCCTTGACCAATGTCTTGTGAAATAGATTTGTGAGGACGGTATCTGCATCTCTGAAGAGCCTGTAATTGCTCTTCTCTGTATGTTAGATCTAACGGTGGGAACTGCAGCCACTCAACTACAAAATTTAAATACAATGGGAATAATTGGATCCTGAGGTGGCAGGGGCCAAGTGGCAGCACTCAACCATCAAAGGCAAGGTGGACGTAGTAACCACAATGGACAGCAGAGGCAAAGCGGCAATCAGAATAGTCTGACTCGTGTAGAGCTCTGGCATTGGCTAATTAATCAGTGTTCCTAGAAATGAAATTGATAGGAAGCCTACTGCATTCCTACCTAAATTATACAAACAGAACACTTCTAGGTCTAATGGACAAAAGACTAATTTGAATTATAAAAACAGAGAATCATGGCCCCTCAATCAGTTTCCAGACTTGAGCCAGTTTACAGACCCAGAACCCCTTGAATGAAGGGGAGGCCAGGTTCTCTTGAGGCAGGACCCCACTCTATTACCGACAATTTATGCAGTGCATCTTTCTCTCATCCTTCCGCAAGGAGACCTCTGGCTTTTACCGGGGTAACTGAGCACTGGGGAAAGAGAAATAATCAGACATTTTGGGGACTACTGCACACTAACTCTGAGCTGACATTGATTCCAGGGAACCCAAAATGTCATTATGGTCCTACAGTTAAAGGAGGAGCATATGCAGGTCAGAAAATTAATGGAGTTTTAGCTCAGGTCCGACTTACAGTAGGTCCAGTGGGTTCCTGGACTCATCCTGTGGTCATTTCCCCAGTGCCAGAATGCATAATTGGCATAGACGTACTGAGCAACTGGCAGAACCCCCACACTGGTCCCTGACTGGGTGAGGACTATTATGGTGAGAAAGGCCAAATGGAAGCCATTAGAGCTGGCTCTACCTAAAAAATGAGTAAATCAGAAATGATATTGAATCCCTAGAGAGATTGCAGATTATTGTGCCACCATCAAGGACTTGAATGATGCAGGGATGGTGATTCCCATCACATCCCCATCCAACTCTCCCATTTGGCCTGTGCAGAAGACAGATGGATCTTGGAGAATGACAGTGTATTATCATAAGCTTAACCAAGTGGTGACTCCAATTGCAGTTGCTGTACCAGATGTGGTGTCATTGCTTGAGCAAGTTAACACATCTCCTGGTACCTGGTATACAGCCATTGACTTGGCAAATGCCTTTTTCTCCATTCCTGTCCATAAGGCCCATCAAAAAGAATTTGCCTTCAGTTGGCAAGGCCAGCAATATACCTTTACTATCCTACCTCAAGGGTATATTAACTCTCCAGCTTTGTGTCATAATCTTATTTGGAGAGACCTTAATTGCTTTTTGCTTCTGCAAGCTATCACACTGGTCCATTACACTGATGACATTATGCTGATTGGATCCAGTAAGCAAGAAGCAGAAAGCACACTGGACTTATTGGTGAGACATTTGTGTGCCAGAGGATGGGAAATAAATCCAACTAAAATTCAGGGAACGTCTACCTCAGTAAAATTTCTAGGGGTCCAGCGGTGTGGGGCCTGTTGAGATATTCCTTCTAAGGTAAAGGATAAGTTGCTGCATTTGGCCCCTCCTACAACCAAGAAAGAAACATGCCTAGTGGGCCTATTTGGATTTTGGAGGCAACACATTCCTCATTTGGGGGTCTCATTTATCGAGTGACCTGAAAGGCTGCCAGTTTTGAGTGGGATCCAGAACAAAAGGCTCTGCAACAGGTCCACGCTGCTGTGCAAGCTCCTCTGCCACTTGGGCCATATGACCCAGCAGATCCAATGGTGCTTGAGGTGACAGTGGCAGATAGGGATGCTGTTTGGAGCCTTTGGCAGGCTCCCATAGGTGAATCATAGCAGAGGCCTCCAGGATTTTGGGGCAAGGCGTGAGCCACCGTGCCCGGCCTACAGCAGACTTTCTGTAAGAGGTAACTAATATTAACAGTGTAAACTAAGACCATATTTCTCGGTAGCCATGTAATACTGTTTGTTCTTACTCAACTGTTATTCGGTATTGATCATAGTTCAGGTGCACAAAACAGAATCCATTCTGGTTAGTTTAGCAGAAAAACATTTAAATGTCATTGACAACAGAAATAATTTATAGCCCAACCTAGTACACAAAAATGGTGGCTATGTCCCAGTGAGTTGATTTCATGACTCACTAATGAACTGTGACCCATAGATGGACAATTACATTGCAGGGTATTAAATGTCTTGGAGAATCACCAGAAAAGAACAGTCTTGCCTGTGCTTCCACAAACTGGGTGGCCAAGCAAACTGATAGTTCCAGAAACACTCCATGTGTATAACCCACATCCTCAAAATGATGCCTGGTGTCTCAGAATCTGATGGACAAAACCTAAGTGACACCAAAAAACCCTGACACAAAGGAATTTGAGAAACATAGTAAAGACAGGAAAGCACACTAGCAGAAACTTCCAAAAGATGTCAATCAAGCTAAGCCACAGAATCAGTTCCGTATCTGCAATGAAATGCTGCTTATGTATGTGAGACAGAAAAACCTGGTGGCCGAAGTATGTATTATTTCATTTATCTTATCCCTATAAATGGCATATTTTCTTGATTACAGCCTATTGCTACTTCACTTAGGGAAACTCATAGCTACAACCAGTACAACTTGCCTGATGAGATGAAATTCAGGGGAACAAATCAAAGGTAGCAAATCCCCAAGTTACATGTCTTTCACAAACATACCTCTACCCAGTCAATAGAGGATTTATCAAAAGAAAGATTAATAGTGGAAAAATAAACTGAGGATTCTTCTCTCACCCTCATCACAAAGAATCTTAAGATTAAAAAGAAGTTTTTAAACTAGTGAAGACAAGGAAGAACAAGGAATACCTTTAATCTCTCCTTTTCATTTCATTTTCTTTTAGTTCAGCTTATGCAAGATTTTGTACCTTGTGTAAGAATTTAAGTTTACTGAATACAAAATATTGCTTAAGATTTAAAGGAATTAAAGCAAAATAAGTTGCTGAAGGGGGATCATTTGAGTTAAATACAGGTTTTTTTTTTTTAAATCTGTAATTGATGTACATTTGACTTTAAGAAGACACTTTACATCAGGTCACCACAAAGCAGATTTACATACAACCATCAATTGCAGAAAAACAAAGTTTCTTTTTGATCCAAACACAAAAAGCTTTGTGTTTTATTTTTTTATGATCTCTTCCTTGACCATAAAAAAAAAAAAAAAGTAAAAAATGCAGTACTTTTCGAAGGTGAAGCTAGTAAGTTTACAGAAGTGCAAAACACCAAAACACTTTAAGCAAAAACTTTTTTTTTTTTTTTAAGAAAAACGTATGACTTCTCGTTTTCTGTTCTTGGCATAAATTTTAATTCTTTCCAGTGGAACCAAAACCGCCTGAACCCCTTTCGGTGTCATCCAAAGCCTGAAAGATAGACAGATAGAAAGGTGGTAAGCTTCACCGTTTTTTTGAGTCTCTTTCAGTTTTCCTCTCCAGCTCCTAAGAAAAATATAGCCAGAATTCTACTCTTGCTATATCATCTTTTCAAAAGGGAGATTACAGAAAGAAGAAAATTAAATTCTAAAAAGCTCCATAAATTAGAATATTGGGTAACTTTTAAAAATTCTAATATTAGAAGTTCACAGTATGTTTAAATAACTTATTATGCAAAGTAAATACTACATAATAGCTACATGAAAACCATTTTAAGAAATTCTTAAAACTAGTATTTTAAATTTGCTTAAAATAAGTTTAGTCATATATACTATTTAGTTACAAACAGCATATTAAATACTCAAGATTATACATATTTCTTCACTTAAGATGTTATATTACTTATTCTCTATCATCCTTTGTAATACTTACTTGAACTTCTTCTATTTCTGGATAAAAAATCTGTTCGCAAATGAGCTGTGCAATTCGATCACCCTTTTTGACTTCAAAGAAAGAATAGTTTATTATTGATATTACTGACATTCTCCACATCCTGTCTTATTCAATGAGAATTAAAAGAGTCAATATTATTTACACATACATGACTCCGAAAATTCACTAGAATTATGTGAATGTATATATTTAACATACCTTCAAACTTGTCTTTGCCAAAATTAAACAGTACAACACCAACATTTCCTCTATAATCTTCATCTATGACACCAGCTAGAAAAAAGAATAATAATAATATCTCGATTTTTGCTATCTGAATACTAGAGGTGTAAGATCTCAAAATCATTGTTATGTAGCTCTGAGATTTGTATTCTTACAATTGAATAAGTGAATCTTGCCCTGGTACTATGTAAAGCCTAAAACCAAGAAATGATATTACTAAAATACAAATAAAAATTTAGAAAACACACCCTAATTTTCCAACCTGTCACTCCTTATCAAATGGCAACCATTTCCTCTTTTAAGCTGGGAGTAGCAATGACCATCTCCAACCTACTATCTACCCACTGCACACTTGCCAAAAAGACTAGGAGGAAATTACAATTTGGGTTTTAAAGGCTTTTCCTGGTATCAGCTTCCCATTAATACCCAGATTGAAATACGATTGAGTCATAAATAAAAATGTAAAAAAGCCTAAAGCTCTGCAGTGGAATAAGTCAACGCTGACATTGTTAAGCAGCAGTCTTGCAAATCTTAGAACGTTCCATTTGTACGCTAAAAATGTACCTGAACTTTTCAGTTCATAATCTTCCTCTCCTTTTAATTTGAACCACCATCCTTTCTTAGAGCATGATTTCTCAGAAGACAGTAGCACATAGGCTTCCTGAGTGTAATTAGTACTTCTTTATATGTGTAATTAGTACTTCTTTGAGATTATGAACACAGCAGAAGATCTTTGCAGGGGGGACTTGAGCCAGGTCCCTGCCATAGCCCAGAGAGTTATACTTACCAGACTTGCTAGCATTTATCTTTGAGCCAATAATTTAAAACATTTCCATAAACACAAGCACAGATAATACAGGTGCACCAGGCCTTTTTGTTTTTTTATATTGATAAATAATTCACAAAGCATACAATTTATCCATTTAAAGTGTTACAGTTCCACAGTTTATAATGTATCAGAGTTGGCCAACTATCGTCACAGTCAATTATAGCACATTTTCATTACCCTCCCTCCGAAAATCCCCTGCCTTATTAGCAGTCACTTCCCTTCCTTCTCCCACTCCCAATTTCCTGCTATACATGTAATTCTTTCCCCTCAGTTTGTGAAAGGCTTGATAGGACTCACGTGAATCTAACTGAATACAGCTCCATGTCACATCTTACTTGTTATTAATATTCTACCCCCAACAAAAACCCTGATGAAGGAAAAAATATGGAACTAAAAATAATCATGTGTTCAGCTCAATGGGCAGTAATGCTATTTGCCCACACTCCTCGTTATCTGAAAGCTGAGAAAACAAACAAAAAAACCCCAAAACATACCCACCCACCATTTTTTAAGAACAAAGGTAATTCCAAAGCATATCCTTTCAATTTTCTCATATAAGGGGGGAAAAAAAGCAAATGCTTAGGTCCACCATATTCAGCAAAAACAACATTTTAGATTTTCCGAATGGATTACAACATACATTTAAATGAACCCCTGTGCTTTATGAATGAATTACTAGGGACAAGTGAATCTGAATTTAAGCACTTCTTAAAAGGTTCCTGATGCGATACTTTTACGAGAAGAGTGAGTATAAAACTGGGCAGAAAAGCAGCAAAGGCAGTTCATCTCCTGTCTGGCCTGAAGGAAACAATCAATTATTGAACTTGACCAATTTGAATTACCAAATCCTGCTTTATTTCTCCACTGTCAGTTGACCATTAATTTAGACCTCAATATTTATGAAAAAAATTGATATAAAGATGAAACCAGCTGTTTTCCACATTACCTATATGGAAAAAACTTTGACGGCAGGGACAATTTAAATTAGATTTAATGAAGAAATCCCTCAACATAGCATGTTGTTCCATGTTAGAAAAAATGGCCACAGTAGGCTAGAGAACTTCCATGCTGGGAGATTCTGAGGTACAGGCTAGTAATTCATCTATCTTGAATGAGTTAGAGAAAGACAATATGGACTGACTGACTTCTGAACTATTCTGTTTCTACTTTATTCGAAAATTTTTAAATAACCAAAACAATACAAATACATATAAAATAAAAGCTTATAATATTCTCTTACCCTCCCTGAGATAGCTAATGTTACAGAAATATCTTACATACTACTTTTTTTCTACTTATCCTTTGAGATTAATAAATGTAAATGTTAGCCATTCTTTTTAGATACAAGATATGGAAATATGGTATCTCTTTTTCTCTTTCTTTTTTTGGCAGGGTCTCACTCTATAGCCCAGTCAGGAGTATAGTGGTATGATCACAACTCACTACAGCCTCAACCTCAAGTGATTCTCCCACCTCAGCCTCCAGGTGCACAGGCACCACCACACCTGCCTAATTTTTGTATTTCTTGTAGAGAGAAAGTATCCCTATGTTGCTCAAATGAGCCTCAAACTCCTGGATTCAAGCAATCTGTCTGTCTCAGCCTCCCAAAGTGCTGGGATTACAGGCATGAGCCACAATGCCCAACCTGTACCATATGTTTCTATGTAACTATTCTCTTACATAATATTAGACACAGGCTGCTTTTACATTTTCCTATAAAAAATAAAGAAGCCCTTTAAATATATCCTTGTACATTAATGGTTTTTATTTTCATCAAATAGGTTGCAAAAAAAGGTGTAGCCATTCAAACTTCCATCAGCAATATTGGAGAATGCCCATTTCCAAAATGCTTGCCAATATCTGATGGCAACAATCTCTTACATTCTGGCCAATATCATGAGTACAAAATGGTTATCTCATTGCCTTACTTTTCATTCCCTGATGACTAGTGAGGCTGGACTTTTTTCCTCCCATTTGTTAGACATTTGCACGTCCTCATCTATATTTTGTTCATGTTTTTTTCCCTCATTTTTCTTTTTCATAGAAATTGTAAATATTTGCTTGTTGGCTTTATAGTATCTTCTAACATACAAAAACATTCTCTTTCTGTAAAGGCCTCTGCTGTATCTGTAAAGTAGTCCTATCAGAACTACTCAAATGACTGGGTGTCTTGAATTCTAGAGACAGGTGATCTTTACACTTGGGCCAAGAAAATGTGAAAAACCTGTAACTGACTAAAAGAAATTAAGTAGTTTGAAGTCAATTCAAACGTATGGCAGAAGAAAAGGCCCTCAACAGTTTTTTTTTTTTTAACATGAATGCTGATGGTATAAAACTTTCAGTAGTTCCAAATTCATTTACCACCCAATTGCCATTTGACCTTCAAGAAAAGCCTTCTCTGCCTACAGGATATAAGTATCAGGGACATTTTTCCTCAGAGAAAGTAGAAAGTATCTTGAAGTTATCACTGGAAAAATCATGCATTGGAACTGGCAGAGTGATTAACTGACTTCAGGCAAAAGTTTTACTGTGTCAAGAGTTTGGCATGTCATTTGTTGGAAACCTTTTTTTAGTGAAGAACTATCCACACCTACCAGATGTGAATTCTGAACAGAATCCTGAATGCTCAACTTTTCCCTTTGACCCTTATTTACAGCCTGGGATTTCTAACAACATCTCTTTTCAGAAATAAAAACTGTTGCCAATTATGATAAACTTGTGCCTAAGGGAGACTGTTAAGGTTCTCTGCATCCAAGAACACACCACAGTGTAATTTTATGAATAATACCATACCAACCACCAGGCAAACTAACTTTCCATTCTTTTACATGAATTTTTTTCCAGAAAGTTGTTTTAAACAGAGCAAAAATTAGTAACAAAGTCGAAAAAAAGAAAAAGTTTCCACATAAAAACAATCTGTGAAGTCCCTAAGGACAGAAATTATATCTCACAGAATCTAATATGTGCCAAGCACTGTATTAGGTATTTTATACATATTATCATTGAATCCTCCCACCTCTCAGAGGCAGGCACACCAATTTCCATTGAAAGATGAGGAAACAGGTTCAGAAAGGTTAATAACTAGTTAGTGACAGAGCTGGGACCTAAATCCAGTTGTTATTCCAAAGCTCCTGTTCCTTGCACAATCATTTGAAACTTCGTTGAAAATATATACAATCATTTATATTCTTAAGTTACAGTCCCAAATGACCATAGTTGACCTTGTAAAAGGTCAACTTACAGAGCATAACTTACAGAGCCCAAGGAATCCTCAACCCGAGAGTGGGCTGTCCATGTCCATCCCTGCTTTGTAAAACTTAGCTCCCCTTTAGTCCCTAAGAACTGGGAACTTTTGGGGTCCTGTCTTGGCCAACAGCACCACCTAGTGACACTATGGAGACACCACGCCCACCAAATGTCTGACTAAGGAGTAGGTCTAGGATAGCCAGGTGTCATTAAGTGCTTAGTTAGCCCTTGCAGTGGCACATAAAAGTGAGCTAATGTTTAATAAAGTCAGGACATGTTTAGTTGGTGAGGGGGATACAGCAGGGTAATCTTCACACTTAATTGCAGTGGAAAGAATGAGGGGGTTGGAATCACACAGAGACTCCAGTTTTTAACCACATAACCACGTGGGCTCATTTCTAAGCCAGAGCTATATAAAGTAGCTCTGTAAAAACGGGTGGAGGAGGAGATCTAGCATACCTACTTATGTGGGGCCAAGATATCTTGTTAAATGAAACATTCACTACTGATGGGATAAAGGATCAGTATGTGGGGACCACGTTAAGTGGGGTCTGGATCCCAGCTGGGGGAGACCCGAAACAAGGAAACCACATCAGGAAAATATAAGTTTCCTTACGATAAGAGGAGTAGCTCTGTAGCAAGAGTAGTTAGCAAAGGACACTGAAGGTTCTTCGTGAAAGGTACCACATGAGGTAGGGTTAACTTTGGGAGACATGAGAAAGACTTTATTATAAGGGAAACAGGTACCATAGAGGACTGTCTTGACAAATTTAGAGAAAAGTGTTTTCTCTCCTGACTTCAGGGAAAGATTTTCTTGTTATATTTTGCTAAAGACAGATAGCTCTCTTATGAAGAAAATTCTTACAAGATAGCCTTGGGTTTTCTAGAACTCTTGCTGCTTAAATAATTACCTAATTATTACATCATTAAATCTAAGTCATTAATAATCAGGTAATAATTATTTTAAAAATTAAGTTAGTAGTTAAGCAAAATATAATTGCTTAAAATAACCACAAAGCTTTGCCTCCTCATATTATAACAACAAGCTTTCCTCTAATCATTTTATTTTCTTAAAAATAAAATCTGTCATTTGAATATTACCTTTTAAACAAAGACAAAGTAAATGCTTGCAAACATTTACAGAATAAAAAAGGAAATGTATTACCTCCTACATCAATAAAGTGTTTTGCAGCCAAGCCTGACCGTGGAGCTAAAAAACAAAAAAGGAGACATTGGTTATTTTAAGGGGGAAGGGCTATACCAGAGATAACTGACGCAATTTAAGCATGTCATTCTCTTCACCTGTAATATCTACATCTTCATCTTAACTTTAGCACACGGTTTTGAATTAAAGAATATATATTCATCATACTGCATTACCAAAGTTGGAAAGACTAGTTTAGGAAAATTCTACAAGGTTTTAATTCAAAACTAACTTAAACCACTCCCATGTGACTTCAGTTAGAATATTTGGTGCTGCAGACAGGGGAGAAGGACTGCTAGAATGAGCTGAAAGGTGAGCAAACGGGAACAACTGTAGGCTGCTCTTTCAAGAAGTTAAGCCTCAAAGGGGAAGAAAGAGGAGTGTGGCCAGCAGGAACACTACTGAGGAAGAAGACTTTGGTTTTAAGATGGGAAACCACAACATGTACAATGTAGATGGGAAGGGAAAGGAAGGGGAAGGGAGATGGAAACAAACCTAACCAAATAGTAGCAGAGCATAGCCTACAACTTGGGACCCCACTATTCATGATTCAGATGCCAAAAGACATGCCTGTAGGAAACACACGAACCAGAGTAAGATAAACAGGCTAATATCAGTTAACTAAAAATGCCAAAAACTAAGTCTCAATGATTCAATACTAGTATACTTTTTAATCCTAAAAACTGAAAAAAATTAAAAGCTATGGTTACACCTTATTATTGCAGACTCAAGCATTAGGCCTATAATTAATTATCCTAACTAGTATTTTATTTTAGAATAATTTAAATCAGGCACTTTGTCAATAATGCTGCCTCTTTCTATACTAACCTTTATTTCACTCCATCTCCTGTCCCTTCCCCTGAAAAAACTCTAAAAAATGCAGTCAATGATGCCCAAGAGATGAGATGAGAGGCCATCTTGTTATCTTTTAAGGGCTGAAGTACTGGCAGTTTCCCCACTCATGGCTAATAAGATAGTGCCAGTCACTCCTTTCCCTGGAGGAGGGCGTCACAGCTCCATTGACTCCTTTATGTTTACTCTGGTTAGTCAAAAAGAACTTATGCTCTTGCAAAGAACTGTCTGGTAACAACTGATCCGCTCCAGAAAAATCAAACCTGTTGACTTGTACTCCATTTTGTCCTACCTCCTCCCAAAGCCTCTACAACACTGAAGAGTATCCCTTACCCTAACCCCATGACCAAACAAGAAAAGGTTAAGTAGGCTTACACACTCTGGGACCAACAAGGTCCCAAGTTTTACTCTCCTAATATAAAATGCCATGTTCTGAGAACAGCCTTCTAGGCCAATGTGAGCCTAAAAGCTCCAGTGAGGAAGGAGAAAAAAAGGGTCAAAAAGAGGCAAAGCAAAGATGTAAATAAAGACTTTCAAACAGTGCATTTGCTATCACAAATGGTGCTTCTTTTAGACACAGCCCAAGCAATATTGCCTGCTTATTACCCCAAATGAAACATGAAGAACGTTATCACAAAGGAGAACTTGACAAATAGTTACCTGTTTCTTAAATGACTCACCTACTCTTCCATAACACCCAGAAGGGAGCGCTATCTGAATGTCCGTTTTCACAAGAGTTTTCTCCATAGGTGGTATTGTGTAATCATAGGCACTAAGAAAATATTGAAAGAAAATAACTGCAAATCTATTTATAACATTTTCATATTTTCTTTGTGACCAAGCATATAAAATTGCTTTCAATATATTTAATGAATTAATGCAACTTTAGTTTCTAAAATCAACCTTGCTATGATGAATTCCCAATTCATCTTAAAAGTTTATGAAGAAGGTAGAGGTGGTTATTTTATTATTAAAATGACAGTTTTAGATAAAATAATTCTCCGTGAATATTTTTGGTGGTATGAAGAGATGTCAACATTGTAAATGTTTGCCCCTGAACAAAAGTTTATTGGGAAACTGAGGTACTTATTAGCATGAAAGGGCAGATAGGCAAACTTTCAAAGGTGGATGCTTTACTACCATAGTTTGAAAAGGAAAAAAAATGAAGAAAGAACAAAGAAAAAAGGCCAATTATTATTACTAATAATACTAGTTATCATTAAGCCTTTACTATGTGCCAGGCACAGTTCTAACTGGTTTACATATATTAACTCATTTTATTCTCACAATCATTTATGTGATTAGGGAATATCTGCAGAAGGAAAGGAGAAAATGGGTGGACAAAATAAGAGGGATAAAGAACTGTGTTATATCTGTCAGGTGGGGCTTGGTGGTTTGCCAAGCTTAGGCAATGAATTTCCCGGCTGAGGGAGAGAGCTGATCACTGTGAACAGTCCCTGGAGATGGACTTTGTTTAGGAACAGAATGTCTCTAAGATCCACGTAGCAAATGCTGCTACTCTTGCTATTACTGTGGCCCTCTGCTGGGTAGAAATTTAAGAGATCTTACAATGAGCAGAACCAGAAGTTTACTTTGGAGAACTTCATTAAGTCTGGTAAAGCAGTACTATACTTCCCCTTCTTTCGCTGAAATCCCTCTTTAAATAGTTATGGCCTAATTTATTACAGATACATTATTTCCATGTCTATTTCAGTCTACAGAAAGTCACCTGATTTTATTAGGAGGCTACTTAAGGTATCTTAAATCAAGGACTCCCCTAGGACTCAAAAGTGCTCCAAAATATACTTTGGAAAGGTCTAGTCAAACTACACCACTCTTTTATTCATTAAAATTAAGAGACCGTAGTTTTTCCAGCTGCAATTGTCCATACCTACTTTCCTTTTCCTTTCTTTTCTGTTGCTATCATCATGCACTACTTTCTCTTCTGTGCTTAAACCAATAGTTCTCATGTTTGAATTACCTGAGAAACTTTAAAATAAATCCCAATGCTTGGGATTTAGTATAAACTCTCCTTCCCTCTCAGCATTACTTTTCTCCTACCTTAATGGCTCTTAGAACTGGGCACAGTAGTCAAAAGAAAAAAAAAAAAAAAGCCCAAAATTCGGGATAAAAAATGGTATCATCTTCAAGTCTCTGGGGAAATCAATTCAGCTCTTCACAAACTCCCGCCTGCGTAAAAAGTAACACTTATCTAGTTAAGGATTGTTGTGAGGACTAAATACAACAGCATAAGGAAAGTTTTTAGTACAGGTAAAACGTGCTGTAGAAATGAAGTGTGGTAGTATTACAGGCAGTTCTGCCTTTCGTATTCGGATGCCTTCTGAAATTCCGCCCTGGGGCCAGATGAATGTATAGAAAATAACTTTTTAAGGCAGATGCATCTCTGTTCATCCTTCTTAGATGTTTTCACGCTCACATCTAGGCTCACACCTTGGCTTTTCTATTGAGCACAGCATCACCCTCAGGCCACTCGAAAGCCACCATGTGCCTTCCTCTCTATCTTCTATTTAGGAAGGGCACAATAAACGTTGCAAAGTAACGCCTTGCTAGACGCCGTATATTTTACTTATTCTGCAGTCTTTGCCCAAATCTCTAATTTATGCCAAAGATGAAAGCTAAAATTTTCAATATGAAAAAGGCTGAAATTCTATTTATAATTAGTGTGTTCCTGCGATCTCTTCGATGACTGTTTCTAGCTGTGGCAGCGGATGGCCGGCCCTTTCCAGCCTCCTCGCCGGGAGGTCCCCGCTCACCTGTACAGGTCGTAACCCGCGGCCCGCGCGGAGCCCCGGGTGGGGGCCGTGGCGTGCTCGGAGAGCCGGGCAAAGCGGAGCTGCATGCCGCCCTCCTCTGCAGGCCGGGGCCGCTTACTGGGTGAAATGGCGGGTGTCTCTTCAGAGCAGGGCATGGTAAAGCCAGAAGGCGAGCGAGGAGAGCGCCCGAGGAACAAGAGAGCGCACTATGAGTTGCGCCGCAGGGAACCCGCCAAAACCGAAATTTCCCGCCAGCTCCGCCCCACCCACCGCCCCCTCCGGGACGAGTCCACAGTTCTGGCCGAGAGGGGAGGCGGGATTCACATTTTGGGTTAGAAGCCCTTCTCGGAAAGCAGGTTTGGGATCGGAAACTACTGGGTCCCAGTCATCCATCCACATTCAGCGCGTAGGGCCGACGCTGGGGGACAGCTTTTGGGGCGTCGCCCTCACACACTAGAAAGCCGCCCCCCCCCTCCAGGGGACCCTAATGAACTTCCGCCGCGCGCACAGGGGCCGCCCGCCGGCCTACTTCCCCCACCGCCTCAAGCCGCGGGGCTTCCTTCCGGACGGCCGGGGCCCTTTGCCCGCTGCTCTCCTACCCTGCCCGGGCGCCGGGCATCCCCCCGGCTTAGGAAGCTCGCCCTTCCAGCCCGCGGCCCCGGCTGTACTGGCTCCGCGACAGCCTCGGCTCAGACTGCCAGCGCTGGACAGCGGCCAGGGCGTCCCGTGCTGCGCTGCGCGGCCGAGGGGCGGGCCTGGCGCGGAGAGTCCCGCGGCCTCGGCCCTCTGCCGTGCGCCTCGCGCGTTTTGCATCGCTGAGCGAAGCAGAGACGGAAGGAAATGGTAGCAGAGCGCGGGGCGAGGGCAGAGGAGAGTCATTTCCCCCAGAGTTTGGGCTGGTTGGCTTCTCGGCACCTCCGGACGTGCGCCAGGCTTCCACCCTGAAGACGCGCGCGTCCCGGAACATGACCTCGGAAGCAGTCGCCGCCGTGCGAGGGGCGTGGAGAGGCGGCGCAGGCCCTGGGGCACTAGGAAGACGGTGCCCTTGGCGTTCTGAGTCTTGCTGCCGCCTCCGGGTGCCTACGCCTCTTGCCCTCGCTCTTCTTGTTTGCTCGGGCCCCCATTTTTCCGAGAGTCCACCAGGCCTGGGCCCTGCTCCTGGGCTGACTTACCTGCGGCGTCACCGCCAGCGGCCATGACTCCCGGGCTCTGAGTTCAGCGGCGCCCTAAGCGCCGGAACCGCATGTGGGTGCCGGTGACAGTTACTGCACCCGGTGCGGCTCCCCAGACTGGGCAAGACACCGCGCCCGATTTCCTTTCAGCACCGAGTGCCAGACGTTGTAGTGTTTATTCGACCGGAGGCAGGGAGGGCGGTAGTATTCTATCAGGTTTGGGATAACCCAACAGAAACGCAGCGGGAACGCCTTGGCTAGGAGTCGAACAAGGATCCCGGGCCGCAGTGGTATAGTTTACAGTGGGGGATAAAGCAGTCACTTTCTAGATAGTTGTTTTTCTTTTTCTGAGCTGCAAGTATATCGTTATTTCTCACACAAATCTGAGAGCTGAATTGAATGGTTTTGAATTTTCAAAGTTAAACTGTGGGACAGTTTTAGATAAATGACAAGTAGAAGTGTTATTAGAGTATTATTGGGGAAATTTTACATTCGTTGCTGTGCCTTTTCATACAGGCCCCACCTTTTCGGTCTCCTTAACTGGTTCCTCTTCGTTGTTGAAAGTCCTTTGCATGAGGCTATGGAATATACACTACCTTCTCTGGACGTTAAATATTACTACACCTTGAGGACTGCCAGATTTATGCCTATAGCAACACGATCCGAGCCCTGCAACTTTTCGACCTCATTTTGAGCCAACATTATTTTACTCCCTTATTTTGCTGGAGTACTTTCTCCAGTTATTTACTTAAAGTGTTCACATGAGAGACATTTGCTCACAAATGACTGCCTCATTGGACTAAAGGCTCAAAGGGATCAGAATACTTAAGCCACAAACTCACAACTATAGTTCTGCCTAATACACTGAATACCCAATCTCTCAACAAACATAATCACCATGAAAAGCATACTGTGAATTATGCTAATGGCGTAGAAGCACCAGGAGACAAAAGTTCTGTAATTACAGTCCAGAGAAAGACTTGTTATTTCATTTTAAAGCATCATTGAGTTTTATGAAGTGAAGAAATAAAAACAGGCTGGACGTGGTGGCTCATGCCTGTAATCCCAGCATTTTGGGAGGCTGAGACTGGCAGATCACTTGAGGTTAGGAGTTTGAGACCAGCCTGGCCAACATGGTGAAACCCCGTCTCTACTAAAAATACAAAAATTACCCTGGTGTGGTGGTGCATGCCTGCAATCCCAGTTACTTGGGAGGCTGAGGCAGGAGAATCACTTGAATCAAGGAGGTGGAGGTTGCAGTGAGCCAGCCTGGATCACACAATTGCCCTGCAACCTGGGTGACAGAGCAAAACTTCCATCTCAGAAAAAAGAAAAAGAATTACCTTTTATAAGCAGATGTCTTAAGTGCCAGAGTACACAGGAGAATCATCACAAGAGCTAGGGTAAATGCACATGTCCAAGCCCCATCACCAACTGACTACGCAAAATCTCCAGGGTGATTCCGTTGCCCACCCCTGGTAAAAGACCGCTGCCCTAGGGGATTGATTTCTGGAGAATCTGCAGGGGTCAAGACATCCTGAAAAGAGTTATGTCACATTTAACCAATATTACCAGCTTTACCAAGTATACTATACTGTGGACTGTTTTAATAAAGGCTCCATTACCTTAAATATAGGAGCAGAGCCAGGGCCTTTGTTCTTGGCAATACATCTGTGGTACAATTGTATTAATAGTAATTGCATGGCTGGCCCGAAGGTAGTGAGTTATCTCAACTGATTTTTCACAGTCAGGAGTTTGATCTGAAACTCCTTGTTCTACTTTCTCCCCTTCTCACTACTATGCTTGACTAGTCTTAAAGAAAAATAATTTTAAAAAGAGTAACTGCAGACCATGCAGCATTCAGAGTATTTGCTTATTTCTCAGTTATGCTGAGACTATTAAATAAACAAGTCCCTAAAGATGTCCCAATAGTTAAACAGGGCTGCAAGGCTGAAACACTGTAGAATGTAAAGTGAAATTTTAATATAAATTTTAATGTAAGAAATATATTTGCCGGTTTTAATTGTGCAAGATTAGCTAAGGGGAAAAGAATTAGGGGCAGGGGAATCATGGACTAAACTGGAAAGCTCTTCAAAAACTAAATCAGCTCTAAGTTCCCACTGTCTCTTCTGGCTTATATGATCTCTTCATATTGTGTCTCCTCTCTCATCTTTGTAGGGCATCCAATTGGACTGGAAAATTAACCATATAATACAGACCATCTTTATACCTGGTTCAGACGTTAATTGTTGGGCTCCATCTGGCTAGAGTAGCAGAACTGGTTTCACTCCACCACACAGACAATTTTCATAGTGGTGGTAAAGCAGTGTAACAGGCAAACATTGAGATTTGGTAGGCTGCCCAATGTATTTTGATTGTTAAATATGTTTGGTGATGAAAACCCTGGAAACTTCTATTGACCAATCAGTCTGCCCAAGGAATCTTTTCAGTTCATCTTCAGTAATATTCGTTACCTTTCAGCCTGATCTTTGGCTCATAAATTTCAAGGTATGGTGATGGAAGCTCAAGCAATGTTCCTGTGTGTAATTATATTAAACCAAACAAAGGTAAATATGGACTCAATGTCAGAAACAAGTAACGTCTGGAAATCTATATTATAACTAAGGGGCACTAAGTTGCAATTACTGCATCAGAGATTTGGGAACTAGGAACATTTTAACCCATTTTGTGAAAGCTCAAGAATCAAGATATTCTTCCTTTGAAATACTTACACATATCTTAGTTATGTCTTAGCTTGGGCTGCCATAACTAAATACCATAGACTGAGTTAAACAACAGAAATTAATTTTCACACAGTTCTGGAGGCTCCCAGGTCAGGGTGCCATCATCGTGGTGTTCTGCTAAGGGCTCTCTTATGGCTTGCAGAGGCCACCTTCTCTCTGTGTCCTCATGTGGTCTTTCCTTGTATTAAGACCCCACCCTTATGACTTAATTTAAACTTGATTACCTCCCCAAGGCCCCATCTCAAATACCATCACACCAGGGGTTTGGACTTTAACATTAAATTTGGGAGGGTGGGGCGCATTCAGTCCATAACAGGAATCAAGACATTTTTCTTGTAAAATGCTGTCGCAAAATTAATGTGTATTCTTGATCACATGCCTTAATTATTTCTTAATGTAAGAAATAATTTTCATTGTTTGCAATATTTTCATTTGCAATATTTTCATTTGGGAATACATTTCAGATCACTAAACATATTTCTGTATCATGGGGTTTCTTTAAAGGGCTTGAAAACTTTTCAGGAGAGCAACAAATACCCCACTCCCCCATATTTTTGACTCCGGAGAGGTGAGGAGGGTAGCAGGGGAAAGCTAAGATCCTTAGTCAGATTTCTCTGCCATATCCTTTCTTTCTGCTGTTTCCTGTCTTTTGTTGTTGGTTATAGACCTTCTCTTCTTTACAAACTTGTTTGATCTCACCCTCTCATATTCTGAGCAACAAAGGGTAAGTAAAGAAAAAACCCTGGATTACTAAGAAGGGCATTTCAAAAGTGTTATCCCGACTGCGTGTGATGGTTCATGCCTGTAATTCCAACATTTTGGGAGGCCAAGGCGAGAGAATTGCTTGAACTTGGGAGTTTGAGACCAGCAACACAGTGAGACCTTGTCTCCATAAAAAACAACAACAACAACAAAAACAAAAAACCTAACAAATTAGGTGGACGTTGTGGCACACGCTTGTAGTCTCAGCTATTTGGTAGGCTGAAGTGGACGGATTGCTTGAGCTTGGCAAGTCGAGACTGCAGTGAGCAGTGCTCGCACCACCTGCACTCCAGCCTGGGCCACAGAGTGAGACTCTGCCTCAAAAACAAAAGTATTATCCCTTTTACTTTTAATCAATATGTTAATGCAAATTATTCATAAAATGCTACATGAAATGTGGCCAAGACAATCTGATGAATTGGCAAATTCTTTTGGAATAACGATGTGATTGCCTCCATGCATTTATTGTATTCACATATTCCTTGAAGTTAAATATAAGTTCTGTAGGATGGTAATGGAAGTTTCCCACTGACAAAAGTTTGGGACATACCCTTTGGTAATAATGGCTTAACTAGTTAAAGTGATTTCTGTATTGCAGGACTTCTCAGCGTCTTTAATGACCATTGTGAATTTCCAAGCTGGTGCTATGTGCTCTGGAAGCATTTTCCAAACATCTGGCCATAAAACCATTTTTTGTAAAGGATATATTAGTAGTCTTTTGCTGGTAAGTCATAGAAACTAACCTGAGCTAACTGTATCAACAAATAACATTTATTTGAAAGAACATTAGGTGTATCATTCAACCTGTTGAATTGAACTACCCCAGGAAGAACAGGCAGCTATTGGAAACTTTGCGATTAAATTTTTTAACATTTAACCTTGATCTTTGTTTGCAGTCAAATTTGACATCCAGTTTTACTTTTTCTTTCCATTTTTGTTTTTGATCTACATTGTGATCCTTTCAGTTATTACAAACCTTCATTAAAGCATGTTGCATACAAGGTTAGTGGCATTTTAGGCTAAGAAGGGATAAAGTGGAGAATGGGAGTATTCTCTCCAAAAATCACACTTCCTTTGATTTTAACCTGATGATGACAACATTATGCTAAAGGAAATCCTAGAATCCCCTCAGTAATCAACAGAAGTGATCAGAGGCCCCATCTGAGTGGGGGTTTGGAGACCTGGGGGGACTAAACGGGGATGGTTCTGAGAAGAAACTAGGCAACAATGTAGAATTAGACCTTAAAACAAATTGACTCTCAAATAAGCTGGAGGAAAGTGACTCATGAGA